CTGTTCAGTTCGCGGGTGCTGAAAGAGCACGTCAAGGGAAGTTGTGCAGTTCAGCCCACAATCCTCTCTCTCCTCGTGCTCTGCACTGTCCTTCTACTGCTGTTTATGAACAACATGAAAGCATTTGTTTTTATACATAGTTAAACCATACAACAAAATTTCAACTCACGTCTTTGCTGCGTGTCGATTGGGATTGATCTTGCTGGGCCAATGAAAGCAAGGAAAGAAGAGGTGTTCAGGATTTGGGGTTCAGAGTTTATAAGATTTAGGATTACATTTTTCGATAATTCCTCTAGTTGCTTCTTACAGCAACGAACGGTGTGCGCTTCTACACAAGAAGCGCTTTTGGTGGGTTTGGGGTTTAAGGTTTAGGGCCTAGCATAAATCCGGACAGGTTGAAACTTAAACAGTTGCAACATTTCAATTTCGGGGTTTTGAACCAGGGAGAGAAAACCTGGTACTGCAGAAGCCAGAACTCCCGGAATCCTACACCCTAAACCCTTAACCCTTATAACCCCAACACTCTTTCTCATATGTCTTGGACCCTTTTTTTGTTCGTTGAATATGCCGATCTAGGTTTTTTCGCCAAATTCCAACGAAGGAATCGCCGTATTCCAGCGAAGCCGGCCCTTCGTTACATTGTTGAAATCTGACGATCTCTTTTGGCCGAAAGAATCGCCATATGCCAACGAAGCCCGCACTTCGCTGGAATCTGGTGCTTTTCTTCCCTGAAATGTGGCCATTGTGAAGGGCAATCGTTGGAAAATTGTGATTTCGGACGTATCACCGAAATCGCAATTTTCCTACGAAGCCGGCCATTCGTTAAAAATAGTGATTTCGGCCCAACAAGCCCGACATTCCTACAAAAGGGGCTTAAATAATTGGAATAGGGTTCTCTTTAAAGGGGGTCTATAAGGGCTACTATAAGGGATGTATCAAGGTACTCTAATAGACGGGCCTTAATAACTAGAATGAATAGGAATTGGGGGGCCCAAGATACTATAAGTATACTAAGGAACCCCCAAAATAGTATTGGTAACTATTTTTTAGGCCCCTCCATTAAACCGCTGCCTCCTCCAAGGATTCGGCGTCCATGTCTTCCCACCATGCCATTGCTCTGCGCTGGCGGCACGAAAGCCGATTCAGAGGGCTTGGGGCTTTCTTCGATCAAGTGTGGATTGAGTTTGCGGCCAGTGTGCTAAGCAACTTCATGACTCAGGTGAAAGGTTCAGATGTTTCGGCACGGACGAGCGTTCCGTACGCAGGATGGGCCATCACAGCCTTGTGGAATGACGTAGGGCTATGGGCATTACATGTCTTGCTGGGAGGAGTTGCTGGGCTGATCTTGCCACGATCCTTGTGGTCAACTTAAGCAGGCTGCAGCGAGTAAAACCGCGAAGTGCAGATCCTTGATGGGATAGCCGGCAATATAGGGGCCTTAATAATCAGAATAGGGTTTCGGGGTATAGTATGCAAAAAAACTATCATAAGGAACACCAAAATACGAGTAGTATTGGTAATTCTTTAGGCCCCTATCGCATGTTCGAGCAAGTGGCTGCCTCTCGCCGTAGGTGTCAACCAGGCCGATGCAAAAAGCTTGAGGCCTGGACTTATAAGTTGGGTACGGCCCCTACTGAGTAATAGGTGAATAATATTCATAATATAGATATAGTAGGACCTTAATAGTAGCCCTATTATGGACTCTTACTGTATGGGGGCCGTACCTAACTTATAAGTATCATCATCCCAAGTAGGATCTCGTTTAGGGTACTTGGAACTCTGCTTACTGCCTACTTACTAAGTCCCCCGACCCTCCAAGTACCGATGCATACCAACTTCATGGCTATCGGAGGAGACATCCCGAACCACAAACCCTCATCCCTCAACCCGCAAACGTCTACAATAAACCCTATAAAGTTGGAAACCGGACTAAAGCCAAATCGTGCTGGGATTCCTTGTACATTACTCTTAAGGATTGAGGCTATTGGATTTCTAACTTTTTGGCTTCTATTGTAAAGCAGAACCAAACCCAAAGATCAACTGATAAAAACCAGGAGCCGATCCGAAGATGCGCATGGACACTTGCAGGCATGGGACTGGCAGCAGCTCTTTTTGTCACATCAGGGACTGCAATGGTGTGGGATCTCTGTATGTACATATATATACATATATATTTATATATATGTATATGTATGTATATACGTATAATTATATGTGTGGATCTATTTAGGTATCTATACTTATCTATCTACACATCCATATGCATGCATACATACATACATACATACGTGCTCATCTGCACATGTATGTATATGCATATGTGCTTAATCATATCTACTAATGTATTTGAACCAGGTTCTGCATAAGGCAGCCACATACATGCATACATTTACCGATCCACCCTTTTGGGAAATGCTGTCTGTCGCCCGTTACTGCTCCATCGATGATGTTCCAATCTTTCCAAAAGGTGCTTCTGCAAAATCCATGTTTTCGGCGAACCCCACCCTACGGTCCACTGTTCGTTGGCAAACGGCCCGATGCGCGTCCCAAGAAGTCGAGTTTCAGTTCCGAAAACTGGCAGTAGGGTTCAGGGTTTTGGATTTAGGGTTTTTTAGGGCTTAGAATTTTAAGGGTTCAAAGCCCAAACCGAACACCGGAAACCACAAGCAACACCACAGCGTAGCAGGATTGGACAAGGCATTCGGGGCTGTAGAGTCCTCAGGCGATAGAGCGAGTTATGCGGGGGGTGCAGCTGAATAGGGGCTTCCCTGGGTTTATCGGCACTCAGGAATTTATAGGGTAATCACCGGTAATCACCGGTGTTGACGATAGGGAAGGATATGCTTATATTGATTATTCTGGCCCCTTTGTGATGCGGCAATTTCCCGACTGACTTGGCTTCTGGGACGCCGCGATCTGGCCACGACATTGGCGCAACGATCAATAAGCAAACAACCCTCCAATCTGGATCCAGCACTTCAGGGCCCGTAAACCCCAAAACCTCTAAACCCCTAAAATTCAAAGCCCCGAAACCCAAGCCCATAAACCCCTGCACCCCTAAGCCGTTACCACACCCCTCGTCGATTGACAACGAGCCGGTTTGTGTGATTGTTGAATCCCTACGTGCCGGGTATCATGGGCAACTAAAGGTTAACCTTTGTGGTTACATAGGGATTATACAGGGGCTATACTACCCAAACAAGGTTAAAGGTTACCTACTCTAGGACTAGGAATCCCACTTACTTTCCCTTCGAGCAAGGTGCAGGAGATAGCAACCCTGGAACTTCAAGACTTAGACTGGGGGATGGGGTGGGGGGGTGGGTGTGGGGGGTGGGTGTGGGGGGTGGGGGGTGGGTGTGGGGTGGGAGTGGGTGTGGGGGGTGTGGGGGGTGGGTGTGGTGGTGTGGGCGCTTGGGGTATGCTATACCATGACTGTAACATGAAATTCTAAGGGATATCTTTGGTACATGGCCGCATAACGAACCTATAAGGAAGGATTTTAGTATATGACTGTATTACGAAATCCGAGGAATGATGTTAGTATATGAATGCGATAAGAAACTCTAAGGAACAGTGTTCTGGACCTAAGAGTAACCTAGGAATACAAAGGGTGCCCTTTTTGGTCTAAAGGGTGTTGTAAGGGAACCTAAACTTAAAAAAGGGAATAAGGGCCTACTCTGGGTCCTAGTGTTGGTAGTCCCCTTTTCCCGAAGCTGGCCGGGATCCCGATTCGGATGCGATGCATAGCCCGAGCCATCGGCACCTCCGCGCCTCACCTCACGAAGATTCACTTCGGGGTTCCTTTAAAGGAGCTGTAAGGGTCCTGTAGGGATCCTGAAAAGGGGTATCTTAGGGGTTTAGGTTTCAGTTTAGGGTTTAGACTTGTCTATATACAGCCAGGGTTCAACAGTTTCTGCCGCTTTTCCCTACACCCCGTTGTTGCAAAGCAAAGCCGTTGAACAACCTTCAGTCCTGCTTGTCCAGTAGCAAAGGAGAACTACCATTTAACCTTGGTGAAGGTGCAGGGATATAGTGGCCAGTAAGGGCAACAGTTACCTACTCTACTACTAGGCAGTTAAATCCTGCCTGCCACCGCTGAGCAACGGCTAGAAACCCAGTCGAAGCCGCAATCCAAGTTCAAGACACGGGAACCATCCAGCCACTCGTCATTTAGTCCTGCTGGGGTTTACTGGGGCCCTGAATCTTAAACCCCAAAACCCCAAACCCCAACCATAAACCCTAATTGAGCCTCAATCCCGAATCCCTACCTCCAATGGTCAAAGAGGCTTTGGATCTCCTAGGACGGGTGTGTTAGAATTCTAAACCCCAGGGTTTAGAGTCTAGGGTTTGATTTAAACGGGTGTCTGGGGCGGCTTGGAGATCATGGACTTAGTAAGCACGGTTCTAAGTACCTGAATTGGACCTATAAGTCATTATAGCTGCACTTACCTTATTGATAACAGTAGCTACTAAGTCCCATGATCCTCCAAGTAATCAAAGGTTCAGAACCTAATGTTTTGCAGGGTTCGTAGTGCCAGGTACGGTGTTCAGGAGACCCAAAACGCACACCAGCACCAACTGGCTAACTCCTTGTAGGCTTCAATGGCTTCTGTTTATATAGTTCTTCGACGGCTGCAGGAATCGTGACGATGGTAATGATGATGCCAGCAACGAATGTACACTAATGATGATGATGATGACGATGGTGAACTTTGATGGTGGAGATGAAAACGGCGATTCCACAGTCAATAACTGCATATAGGATGTCAATTCCTGCCTTCGTCTGTAGGCATGGGACAGTTCAGCGCACTGTTGGACCGAACAGGGCTTGTGCGCTCGACGTGTAACGACGCTACTCGACCCGCCGCCCTGCACATCGATAGGAGACCGGTTGCCCATAGGCTCCATAGTAGTTCCTTTTCGGGATTACCTTATTATAGGATTCTACATATGAGCCCCCAAAAGGAACTACTTTGGAGCCTCTAGGTAGGGCCTCTGTTCTACAAGAACGTGCTGACGAAATCTGTGCGTGAACCGACGTCGCCAGCAGCAGAAGTTGCAGGAGACCTTCTTGCCGCTCTCCGGCCCCAAAGCAGCAAAAGCAGGATCCCCACGGGAAAGGCCCAAACCACCAAAGTGGTAAGACCCACAAGGAGGCAGTAGGTGAAAACCCCCTCTGTGACGCCATCGCCAAAGTACGCCCCGCCGAACACTGCTGCACAAATGGTAAAGTGAAGACGGGGCCTCCATCCCTTTGCTAGAGAACCTATACTGAACTTAGAACCCTAGCAAAAATTATAATTTTAGCTGTTTCTTAGGGATTATACTAACCAAAGATTAAAAATTATTTCTAAGTACCCCTAAGGAACAGTGCTTCCATCTCCCCACCACCGAAGCCCGAGCAGCGAGGGCCCAGGTTCGGTCCACGAAGCCGAGCCTGTCAACCTCCAGCAGCATCCATAAGATTTCACCTAGGTGGGCTTTTAAAGCCATGAAAAATATTAGTAAATAAGATCCTCTTAAGCCCAATAAGGGAAAATACAAAATGTCCCAAAGCCCTACCTAGTCACAGTCATGGACGGCCGATGCAGCTACCAGGCTGGCATGATAAGCCTGAGTTGGTATTTGGTCGGAATGCTGCGCCAGCAACATGCGGACAACTTGCTGCTGGCCAGCCCCCGAGGCGGCTTCAAGAGCACGGCCCACATCACCACCAGCCTCCAACAACAAGCGAAGTACACGGGTGTCGCCACGTTCCAAAGCAGCAGCAAGAGCCGGTTGGTGGCCGGCGTCGGATACGTCCTGCGCCCCAGCCTCCAGTAATAAACTCACCATGCTAGGGTGCCCTGCTTTCGCGGCAGCATGGATGGGCGACAGGTGCTGGTCGCGGAAGCGCCCGGTCAGGTTTGGATCGTGGCAGCTTCGCAACATGTCATCAACGGTAGGACGATAGTCCCGAAACACAGCTTGTATGAAGAAATCTCTTTCCTCCGCAGAAACTTGGCGTAAAGGAAGCAATACCAGCTGCACATCTGCAGTCGAGGCCAGCTGAGCATTGTCTTCCAAGACCACACCTCCATCCAAGATTCGTTGCTGGATTCGTGGCACCTTCAGGAGCTCCTGCAGACGCTTCTTCAATTCATGGACGTTCCTTACACTTTCGATGGGAAATGTCGCCGCTTCCTCCCCAGACGGCCTCCAAACGTGTAGCATCTTCGGGGTGCGGCTCTGGCAAGCATATAAAAACTGGGAGGATCATGGGACTTCGTCAGATAGGGTTCCTTAGAGGGCTCCTTGAAAGGGAATCTATAGGGTTTAGGGTCTAATTAGGGTCTGTATAAGCCCTCAACCCAGTCTACTCCCCGAGGCCCCTCTGTATGAAATGGCGGCATGACGGGTCTATAAGGGCTACTATAAGGGATCCATAAGGGTACCATAATATGGGGGCCATAACTAGGGTTCCTTTAAACGGGCCCTATAAGGGGAGGGAGACAAGAAAAGGATGGCTGCAGATCTCGGGCCCGGAAGCTTTGCGCACCGACATGAAAGCTTCCACGCAGATAGACAAATAGATGGATAGGTGGGTAATTAAGATGGATGGGTAGATAGAGAGGCAGGGAAGTAATACAGGGGCCTGAATGATTCGAAGAGGGTTTTGGGCCGCCCCTTTATAGTGTAACTGTACTTAGGAACCCCAGAAAATGCTATTGGTACTTAGTTGGGCGCTGATATTAGGCAGAGTCAGCTCGTACAAGCGATAGCTAGGGATGGGCACGTTGCTAAACCCAAAGCCCTAAACCCAAAACTCAGAACCTAAAACTCTGAACCAACAACCCTAAACCTTAAACCCAAAACCCGAAACGCAAAACCCAAAACCCAAAACCTAAACCCAAAAGTTGCTGCACAAGTGACTCAAAGTCGTCAATCTTCCACACTCGGACCTGCTTCTACGGGATGTGTTGAAGCTTCAGGCAGTATAGGGATGCGTGGGGTTCAGGGTTTATGGTCTATAAGGCATTGGGTTTAGGGTTTCAGGGTTTAGGGTTTGGGGTTTATATGGTTTTGGGTATAGGATGTAGACGGTTTTGAGACTGGCGTTTTGGGTGTAGGGTTTTGGACATAAGTTTCGGATTACAGGGTATGGGTCCAGGGTTTTAGGGCTCTCTTTGGATACTTCGGGCACATTTATCATGCTAGGTGGGGCTTTTAGAGCCTTTGAAAAATATTAGTAAATAAGATCCTCTTAAGCCCAATAAGGGAAAATATAAAATGTCCCAAAGCCCTACCTAGCATGGTAGCCCAATAAGTTCTTGGAGCTCCCACAACAAGAGAAGATCTTTCAACACACATTTCAGCGCATGCCCTGGTATGTATGAAAAGTATTTCTTCAGAAACATCAACGGGAGAGTATGAGGCCATGATGCTTCATCCTCCATCACCAACAATACGCTGCAATGGCTTGTACTATGAATCCCTATATTGCAATTTAGCCCTTGCTTGGCCCTGTTGAGGATACACTTCATCGTGAGGGATGCAACACCGGCGCCGGCAACAGAAAGCCCGAAATCTGAGATGCAGTTTGGACCTCTGAAACTCTGAAACTCTCGAAGGCATGAACTCTAATCCAAGGGTAAAAGGAGGGACCCTTAACAAGGACCCCTAGGTATATACCCTTAATATAGCTATTATATACCCATTATATAGCCCATTATAGGGTAGGGGTCTCCCTCCTTTTCCCCTTTGATCTAAATCAAGAAACCCTGAGACCCTGAACCCCAAACTCCGAACTCAGACCCTAAGCCGCAAACTCTGAACCCCAGTCTCACACCCTGAACTTGAACTCCAGAACAAGACATCTTCTCAGGGCTTCGTGTTTAGGGCTCAGGGCTCAATATAGGAGCCTTGACAAGTAGAATAGGGTTCTGGGTATAAAATGATATATACTAGATCTATAATAAGGAGCCGGTAATTACTTCGGCCCCTATATCAGGGTCCTTTCGCCCAGCTAGGGCCCCAAAACAGCACATACGCAAAAATTAGGATAAGGATGTCCCATATAAACCCCTGATGATAAAGCCCAATAAGGTTGGGACATCCCCATAAAATGCTTATATCCTTATGCCCGTTTTCGGGCCCCTATACTACGGTTGGTGATAGAAATCCTGCATTACCCATAATCAGGAATATACCATATAATTCCCTTATGCTTATGTGCTTTTTGGTTCCCCAACCTGTTGCGCTTGGAGCCGGACCGTGCGGTCGTGCGAGGCCGAGAAAAGATGGTTGTCAATCGTTAACTGGCGGAAAACACGGGATCAGGGCTTAGGCTTCAGGGTTTTCTGGGCTTAGGGGTTTAAGGCTTTGGGTTTAGGTTTCGGGTTTAGGGGTTTAAGGTTTTGGGTTTAGGTTTCGGGTTTAGGGGTTTAAGGTTTTGGGTTTAGGTTTCGGGTTTAGGGGTTTAAGGTTTAGGGTTTAGGTTTCGGGTTTAGGGGTTTAAGGTTCAGGGTTTAGGTTTCGGGTTTAGGGGTTTAAGGTGTAGGGTTTAGGTTTCGGGTTTAGGGATTTAAGGTTTAGGAGTTAGGGGGAAATGGGCTTAGGGGAATTCTAGTACCCGAGTAACGAAGAACCTGCAGAACCCAAAGGAACGATAACAACAATATCCAGGAATGTTAGTAGTAGGTAAAAAACAAGGAACCCTACGAAGGAATACTATCAGCAACAATGATTCAACTATCTACATGGGTGGTTCTCAAAATTGGGTCCCTTTTTGGGCCCCTAATATAGTACGGCACCTAATATTTGGGGTACCCAAAAAGGGGACCCTAATTTTGACAGCCACCCACATCATCGTCAGTCCAGGATTGCCAGAAGCTTCTCGCAGGTTGGGTCTGTAGCTTCGATGCACAGGAACCGACGAGTCAACAACTTCAGGACTGAGCAATGCCAAGCCTAAACACTACCTTAACGCTGAATAATGACCCACTTGTTTGGGGTTCCTTTTTATGATTTCCATATATGTAAGTCCTTAAAGAGGTAGGTTATTCCGGGTTAAAGCAAACCGAAAATCTTGGGCTGGCTTAGCAGAGACCATTTTTGGGTTGTGGGGTTGGGTCCAGAGCTGCTTCTCTCAAGGGACCCCCACTTTAGGGGCCTGAATAATTAAAACTAGGGTTTGGGGGCCCGTTATACTATAGTTATAATAAGGTTCCCACAAACTAAGATAAATATTTAGGCCACTGTAGTATATCCCCTACACCCTTTGGGCTTTGGGTTTTGTTGCTTTGCCTGCTGCAGGGCTCCGAGCCGCGCCAGGTACTCCCTAAAAGACCCCTAAACCCCAAACCGCGAAACCCTATGAACCCAAAACCCCTGAATCCCTACCCCCCAACCCCGAAAGCCTGTGAGCACTAAACCCCTAAATCCTTACACCGTGCAAATCCACCAACCCTCAAAACATGCTGACCTCTGGTTAGTAGGGAATGGAGGAATGGGGTCCAAATTATAACTACTAGTACTACCATTCTTCCATTCCCTACTAACCCAACAAGGTTAAGCATGTCGGCATCACCAGCTCAGAGATGGGACCGCGGTGACCTCAGCCCCGGCAGTTTGGGTTGAGGCTTTAGGGTTTTGGGGTTTAGGGGTTTTAAGGCTTTAGGGCTTTAGGGGTTTAGGGTTTGAGGGTTAAGGGTTTTAGGGCTCCGGGGTTTGGGGCTTGAGGGTTTTACGGTTTGGCGCTTGGGGTTCAGGTTGTAGGGTTTAGGGTTTAGGGTTTGGCGCTTGGGGTTCAGGTTGTAGGGTCGTCGAGGATCCAGAATCAGGGCCGCCATGATTAGAGTTTAGTTTCCTGAGTAGCCCCTTTATAATAAGGGTACCCTTTTTCTGAATATTCAGCTTTAATAAGGGGACCCTAAAACAAAAAGGGCGAAAGGGTAGTACTCAGGAACCTAGAATTTAGTTAGGGTTTACAGCAGGGCTGTGGATCCACAGCAGGGCTGTGGATTTCCACAGATTATACCTATAGTCTCCATTGTAATAGTTTGTTGGTTAACCAAAGTCTATAGTATGGGATCCTAACCATAAACCTGGTTAACCAAAAAAGGAACTACAATGGAGACTATGGGTACTTAAGACTTCTGAGAAGGAGCCCTAAGGACTTCTGAGAAGGAGCCCTTAAGGACTACTGTTACTTTAGGGTTTAGGGTTTAGGGGTTTTGGGTTTAGGGGTTTAGAAGTTTAGGGTTTAGGGTTGATCCAACCTTCGCTTGATCAAGACGCTGACTGGGACCATCTTGCCGTGTGACAGTGGGTCTGATAGTAAGGGGCCTAGCCCAAAAAAGGGTTATCCTTTGAATGAAGGTAGGATTATACCTGAACCCCAAAACGATTAAAGGTTACCTACTCAGCTACCAAGGATAGCTGGGCTGCAGGATCCGGGCGCCGGGGATTTGTTTGGAAGTTCAGGGCTTTACAGCAAGCCCCGGAAAGTTGGAACATGGGTTAAGGTTAGAAGGGGCCCCCACCCTGTAATAATCCCTTCCCCCTAATATTAAACGCCCCCCCCCTCCCCCCCCCCTTAATATAAAAACTGGATTCCGGAGGTTTAGTTTTTATATTAGGGGGGGTTTCGGGTCCTGCGGGTATGAGTCGGAGTGACAGCAATTAATTAGTAATGAGGCAGCCAGACAGTCAGACAGCTAGAGCCCGAAAGCTCTAAGCCATAAACAGCCCTAAAGCTTTAGCCCTGAGCCCTAAACCCTTAAACCCTAAAGCTCTCGTGTCTCTTTAATTAGTACTGCTGTAATTAATCTTTGCCTCTATAATTAAAGCCCTGAGCCCTAAACCCTTAAACCCTAAAGCTCTGGTGTCTTTAGTATTACGGTAGTCTTCCTTCCATTAAAAACACATACAGATCTGCTACCCCCCCTAATGTTGCACCCTTTAAATTGAATGCGGGGCCCGAACCCGCGAAATTCCGGGGGCCGGCAGTTTTTATATTAGGGGGGGGTTTAATGTTAGGGGGAAGCGATTAGTGGTAGATAATACACGAAGGGTTAATATAGGGGCCTTGACACTTAGAATAGGGTTTTGGGGGCATGCTATCCTATACGTATAATACTACGGAACCCCCTAAATAGTATAGGTAATTATTAGTGCCTCCATGGCATGCCTCACTGCCAGGGCCACGACCCACACGCAACACTACCAAGACGAAAGCATCATGTAGAAGCCTAAATGACTAGTACGGGGATCCTTTAAAGCCTTTAATAGCCATCCTTGCATTTTCCCCCTTCGAGCTGTAGTTCTAGAAGGAACATGGCCCAACACCCTCTTGGAATCCTGGAGACCCCCGATTTTGATCCAGACTCTCACGAGCCGCGGCTAGGTCGCCGGCCCTGTAGCATGTCCTGGCAGTGCCTCTGTGCTTTGTTGCAAAGGCTGGGACTGAAGCAAAGGTGAAAGGTTTAGGATTTAGAGTTTTAGGGTTTCGGGTTTCAGGGCTTAGGGTTTTAGGGCTTAGGGCTCGGGGTTCTGCGATTTGCGAAGGGCCAGGTAATTCTGAAGGGATTGAAGCTCTTCTTCTTTCAGGGTTTGGGGTTGAGGATCCGGCGTGGAATTCTGGGACGAGCGGGAGAAGTTCGAACTGCTCAGTGATGTGCTGTTGGGCGTGCGGGCTTCGACAGAATTTTAGACCATTAGGGCTCTAGAGTTTCAGATTGTAAGGGGTTTAGTAGTGTAGGGATTTCGGTCCTGCTTGGCACCGCAGGATAACAAGGCAAGGACCCAACCGACCGCGTTCATTTGCGATCCCGTAGTGTAGAGGTCTTAATACTTAGAATAGCTTTTCTGGGGTCCTTCTTATAATGATAGTACAATATATTCCGAAACCCTTTTCAAGATGTTCAGGCCCCTACATTAAACATCCCAGCATCGGCATGTTTGTGCATTAGGGTGCAAGAAGCCCTCGAAGACTCGAAGACAAAAACACTCCGGTCCCACAGCCCCGAAACAATGCATCTGGTGTTATGGGGGATACTTTCCCAAACCATAATAAAGACTCCGAATCTAGAAACCCTACATTCGACTCCCCTTTGCGGCTGCATTAAACCCCTAAACCCTAAACCCGAAAAAACAAACCCCATGGAAGCTCTTTCCTGTTCCTCAGGCCCGCGCAGGTCTGTGTCCCATATCTTGATGATGGAGTCCTGAAGCACTCTGATCCAAAGCTTTCTTAGCTAGTATATTATACCAATAAAGCAGAATATGACACAATACTGCGGTGCACAGTACAATTGAACTCAGTATGATATGATATTGTATATTAATCTACGGGCTGCTATGATGTAAAACACGTTCTTGTTGGAAGATGCTCAACCGGACAACAGAACAGGCCAAACCCTAAACCCTAACCCTAAACCAAAACCCAAAAATCCTAAACCCTAAACCCTAAACCCAAAACCCTAAATCCAAAACCCTAAACCCTAAACCGGGCCATCCAACGGCAACCGGACTCCCGTGGACCACGGGAGCCCTAAACCATAAGCCCGAAAACCTAAGCCCCAAACCCCTGAAATCCTAAACCTGCAGGATCCCTCTTCTGATTTACGGGGTATATTCCTTAACTAAGGAATATACCTTAAATTACAGTAGGATCCCTCATATGATTTAAGGCCCTCATATGATTTAAGGTACAAAGCCCCAACCTAAACCTTGAATCCTAATCCTAATCCCCTAGCCATCAACCCTCAATCCCAATCAGCTTCCTTGCCGCCAGTGAAGAGGAGGTTCTCTGAAGGCGACAGGGACAAGGCTGTGAGCCAGTCACCTGCGACGTTTCTCCATGGAATTTTTTACACCAAATTTCAACAGAGAACCTATACGGGAAACATAAGAAATCCGGAAACTTGGGTCGGCTTTTGAGGCTGCACAACTACAGGCTTCGATATGCAGAGCTGCTGGATCCACCCGGTCTCTTTGGTTTGCATGTCCCACGTGGTATCGACGCATCGATTCGTTCTCGGCACCTTCTTGTTCCCTTGATGTCTCATACTCTACCTGATAGTGATGCGTGATATACCCTATGCACCCGACAACCTAACCTTAAACTGAAAGCCATCCCTATACCTTAAACAGGCACTGAACCCTTAATTCGACTGGCTGAAACAGCGTAGATGCCTTGCGCATGTGGCAGCTGGAGGTCGCTCTCCAAGCTGCGGCAGTCCCACCGTCGCAAAGACCTGATCACGGAGCCGTAGGTATGTGTGCGAATGTATGCATGCAAGTATGTCTGCCTACCAAAAAGAAAGCGCATCGAGCTCTTCATCTGCACCGTTTTCCGGGGCTACATCACTTCTGCCGCCTGTCCCTAAAAGCGAGTAATGTAAGAGCCTCAGCAGCTCCACTTGAGGTTTTGCTGAATCATATTCTGGCGCCTTTCCAGGGACCAGAAGGAGATTCCACTACTTGTTTTAACCTCTAGTTTCATCACGACACCAACATATGTCTTACCCACAACATCCCACAACAGGCTTTGCGAGGCACCTATCACGGCTTGCCGAGAAGAAGAAACCCTTCTTGCCGGCGACGGCGATGTCGCTCACCTGGCAGGCTAGGTTAGCAGTCGGCGAGGCCGGAATTGAGTTGTGGAGGGGAGGTTGGTTTTGCTGCAGGGCTCATAGGCTGGCACGGCTCCCACGCGGAACACGACACGAGTTGCAACAATGCCACAAGCTTGGGCAGATGCCTAGAATCAGGACTCAACATCCATGAGTGGGACAGGCTCCCCCCACATGCACATGCACCACAGCGGAAGAAGTGTTTAATTCAGGGGCTTTGATGACTAGAAGAGGGTTTTGGGTGTATAGTATACTATAACCCCTATGTTACGTGAAACGATTAACACCTATTCAATCTTATGCCCTTGAGGGAAAACAACCTTGCAAGCCTACGATGCTTATGAATTCATTTAGGGCTCCAATTACCTTTAAGGCCCACGTTGCTTATAGAGTTTTTAATGCTCCAATCCTCAAGCTAAGGAAGAACCCTAAACCCTAAACTGAAAAAAGGATCCGAAGACCCCACCCCTGCCAGCGATGTCTTCTGTAACTGCTGCCATCCTCGTGGTTCTTTGTACAAGCCGCTGTCGAACTCAGCGGGCTGCGGTTTGGCGTCTAGGGTGGGGGTGCTATTTTTTAGGGTCAAGGGCTTAGGGAGGTGCAAAAACCTGCATGCTGAGTTTGATTCCGGCCGGCGATGGCAGAGCCTGACGACCAGGTGATGCGTCCGCGGTTCCGCGCTGTACTTTGGATCACCCTGAACGGCCGGAAGGCTCAAACAAAATTGGCTTCGGGTTTAGGGTTTCGGTGTGGATGACGATGGCAGCGCAAGATGTGCCGTCCCTCGAAACTACATTACAATAGGGGCCGAACACTTCCAGCCAGTCCAACCTTCAGCCATATCCCAACTACTTTAACTTGTACCGCCCTATGGAAAAATCTTCCGAACCGGAGATGCGTGTGACCGTTGGTTAAAGATCTCAAGAGCTGGAGATCGATCTTGCTGCTGCCACTCTCATTGCGATGGCCTGCTCGAGGTGTGCAAAAGTTGGCAATTAATATAGGGGCCTTCATTATTAGAGGAGGACTTGGAAGTATCTTCTACTATAATTCAGACGGGAACCCTAGGAAATGATGTTGGGAATTTCTCCAGGCCCTATATTAAAAGCTTAGCACATGGCCACCCCCAAGCGGCGAAGATTTGCGAAAATCACGCGCAAAGGCGCCAGTTTCCAGCAACGGCCCTGTTGGGGCCACAAGGGACATAGGTGGTTGTCAAAATTAGGGTCACACTTAGGCTCCTTATTATAGTACGGCACCGCAAATTTAGGGTACCCAAAAAGGGGCCATAATCTTGACAACCACCCACATGTAACCCTAAACCCTAAACCCTTTATAGAACCCTTATAGATCCCTTTAAGGAACCCTTTAAGGATCCCTAATCTTGACAACCACCCACATGGGATCCAGGCTGACGTCATTCGACGAACCCCGGTCTGGTCCTCTGGGTTGCGGAAAGCATCATACTATAGGGACCCTCATACTCAGAGCAGGTTCTCGGGGTATAGGTACCTGGATACACAGATATACATACACACACACATATTTATATATATATATATATATATACATATACATATACATATACATATCATATGATCGTGACTAGAATGATAAGCGGACAATAAAGGGATGATATGATTACTACGCATTCCGATCCCTCTTGTACATGCTTTATGTGCGCTTACCGTCACCAGTACTTGTGGGCTTGGAGTGGGTGGCTGCCTGGGTGGCTGAAGCATTGTCTCATTGTCTGTACACAGAACCCTAAACCCTAAACCCTAAACCGAAGCATCGAATGCAACAGCAAGCTGCCGATTGGGCGAGGGCAATACACAAAGGGCCTGGCTAGTTGCCGGTACTCCTCCTTTCAGAAATCAGTGATAGAATCCTTGCCGTTTACCCTTATAGGTTCCTGAAAGAGTCTCTTACAGGAAGCCCTATTACCATTCTTAAGACCCACATGGGCGTTTCCAAAAACGGCGCCCCGTATTTAATACCCCAAATAGTAGGATCCTTATTGTAAGGGACCCCCCAAGGTACCCCGTATTTTCGGAGAGGCTGATTCTAAACCCTAATCCCTAAACCCTTACAGCCTAAACCCTTACATCCTAAACCCTTAAACCCTTAAACCCTCAACCCCAAACCCTTACGTAAACCCTAAACCTTAAGGCCCATATGGGAGTTTGCGAAAATTGAGGGTACCTTATTTTGGGGTCCTTGTAATAACGATCCTATTATTTAGGGTACTGTAAGAGGGTCCCCTATTTTCGGAAACGCCCATGTATCAAAGCCGCACCCATCGGATCAGATCTGTGAGGTCGCATCTTTCCTTCTTCGGCAGCAGCTCAGCAGAAAGAAGCCTCTGGCACCTGAGATTTTCGGTAGTATTATTAGGGAGACCCCTTAAAAGGTACCCCTTCCGATCCCTAGAGGCCTTATTGCGAGGGTCTATGTCCCCAAGGGTCCCCCCAATCCTAACTCCGAGATTTGCCCCAAGTTCAGAGTTCAGGGTTCAAGGGTTTAGGGTCCCTTTGAAGGGGAACAAAAGGGGTTCCTTTAAGGGATCTATGATAGGGTACTACAGGGGCCTAAATATAGATTAGGGTTCAGGGGTTTAGGGTCTAGGATTTAGGATTTAGGGTTCAGGGGTTTAGGGTTCGCGGTTTAGGGTTTAGGAAGTAAGAGATGTCTGCCAACCGCGTCGTTGCCTCTATCTGTGATGGATTATTTCAAGGAGCCGGAACCGTAGCCACCCGCTCCCTGCATCGCTGCCGGAGGGTCGACGCTGGCGACCTGGATGTAGGGACTGCCGAAGGGTCCTAGATACTCTTGCGGGGAATACTTTCCCAAACCATAAGCAGGATTCCTAACCCAATTAGAAACCCTACATTCTACTATATAGGTACTTAGGACCCTTATACTGCCCTTATAGAAACCCTTACAGGGACCCTTAAAGGACCCCTTTAAAGGGACCTAGAAACCCTTACAGGGACCCTTAAAGGGCCCCTTTAAAGGGAGACCCCTTTTATCTTTGCACCCTGAAGGGGCCGGAGGCTCCCCTACCCACAGGTGAGCCTCGGGCCGAAAAACCCCGGAAATCGCTAAAGGGACCGGTTTAGGGTTTAGGGTTTAGGATTTAGGGTTTAGGGTTTTTAGGATTTATGTTTAGGGTTTAGGATTTAGGGTTTAGGGTTTAGCCCAGAGGGTCCAAGTACTCCCTATTATAGGACTTTAGGGCTGTTTTAGGAACCAAAAACCATAAGTAGGAACTACTTGGACCCTTAGGGTAGGGTTTAGGATTTAGGTTTGGGGTTTAGGGTTGGGCTTTGGGGTTCACGGTTTAGGGGGATGGTTTGGGGTTTCGTACATAGTAGGCTTCTGGGTTTTGGTTCTAGAAGTCCAGAAGTCAGCGCTGGTTTGGTTTCCCGCCTCCCCTCCAACTACTTAGAGGATCATGAGACTTAGTAAGTAGGTTATAATTGGGGTTATAAGTCCCCCCTAAGTGGGGTTATCCTAATTATATCCTACTTATAACCTTACTTACTAAGTCCCATGATCCTCTAATTACCGTTCAAGCCAAGGTGCGCGCCCCAGTTTCTTCACGAAGCGTCCATGCCGCTCAACGGTCCTTTGGGAGCTTTTGATTCCTAAAGGGTCCTAGGTAGGGTTATCGTGGATACTTTCCCCAACCATAACATGGGTTCCGAATATAGAAACCCTACATTCTACTATATAGGTGCTTTGGAGCTTTTGACTGACAGGGGCCTTCGAACTTTCTACCCCTCCCTGAACCCTAAAAACCTGCATAACGTCAGTATCCCGCAACCTGAGACCTGAACCGTTATACCCTCCTCAAACCCTAAGCCCCGATGATCCTAAAGCTAGTAACCCCTAACCTGAAACCCTAAACCCCTATACCCTCCTCAAACCCTGAGCCCGTATGACCCTATAGAAATCTTTAGTTCATGCCGACGTCTCACGGCAAGGCAGGATTGTGTGGAGCTCGTTCTGGACGCGAAGGCCACGATATGCTACAACATACTCCTGCTCTAGTATTTACTATAGCGACTATAGTGTTCCAGAATATACTCTCATAAACCAGCAGCATGTAGGTTGCATCAGAAAGTTTAGATACGAAGAAACGAAGCCGGATCATCTGCCACCCGAAACCCTGAACCCTGACACAACAATCTCAAACCCAAACCGAGCCCCAACTCTCAACTTATGCAAACGGGCACCACTAGACCAAAAAGATCCAAAAAACCTGAGCACCCCTAAAACCTAAGGCCCAAACCCTACACCGTAAAGCCCCAGATTTGAAGCACTGGACCTAAATCCCAAAACTCTAAACCCCTAAACTTCCCCAAACCCTAAACCCCTAAACCCCCAACCCCAACTACATCCTGAGATTTAGCCCCTCAACGCCCCTGAACCCTAAAGCCTGAAATTCGAAGATGGGAGTCCCAGGCTGGTGGATCATGTTCCACTCCGTGGATGCGTCCTGCGCGACCATGGCAGTGGACAAGCGGCTTAAGTATTATATAGGGTTTAGGGTTTAGGGTTTAAGGTTCAGGGTTTGGGGTTTAAGCGTTTAGGGTTTAGGGTTTAGGGTTTAGTAGGGATTCAGTTTAGGGCTTTAGGGCTGTAGGGTTTCAGGGCTTTGGGGTGGGGGGTTTAGGGGTTAGGGGTATGGGGTTTAGGGCTTTAGGGTTGTAGTGTTTCAGGGTTTGGGGTGTGGGCTTTGAGGTGTAGGGGTTGGGTCATAATAATCAAAACACTGTGCGACCTGGTACTGCAGAGGAACTACAGTGGATTAGGGGGGTTTCGGGCTTAGGTGGTTTAAGGGAGACAGATGGGAGTTTCCGAAAATTAGAGGTACCTTTTTGGGGGTCCCCCAAACCACAAAACCCTAAACCCCAATCACGCACACACCTGAACCCAAAAAGTCTTTAACCCCAAACCCAAACCCTTCCTTGCCCAGGAAAGCAGATATGGTTTGTTCTCCGCCAGGGTGGAGCGGAATCCAATTCCTCAAGTCACCAGCTTGGAGTGCAAGAGTTGAGGTAGTTAACTCACTGGCCCAAAACACAAGGAAAAACAAGTTGAAACTGTCCGAATCGACCACCTTATAAGAACCCCAAAAGTTGAAAAGTTGAGTTTACAGCCAATAAGTTAAAGTTACCAGACTAGGGTTTAGGTCCTTTCAGAAACTGGAAAATGTGTTTTGCTTATAATTGCTAACTTGAATTAAGTTCCTCAACAAGACCCGTGGACTCAGAGTGCAAAGTTAATGGTTGTGTAGGACCCAATGATGGGTTTAGGGCTTGGGGGTTCAAGGGCTTGCGAGGTGTGTTTGTTGAGTAGTAAACTACATAGGTTGGCCCTCTAAGGCCTCTGACACATCTTCGTCAATAAGGACCTCGTCTTAAGCCCAATAATGGAAAAACATATACATATTTCAAGGGTCTACCTGGCGACTGAAACTCCTAAACCCTAAACCCGTAAACCCTAAACCCCGAAACCCCTAAACCCCTTAACCCTAAACCCCGAAACCCCTAAAGCCCTAAAGCCCTAAACCCTAAACCCCTAAACCCGAAACCCCAAACCCCTCAACCCTAAACCCTAGACCCTAAACCCCTAAGCCCTAAACCCCTTGCGGTTACTCCTGTACGGCAGCCCCTTACTCGCTCGCGCCCCAGCGTCGTTACGTCGAGAGCCTCGCCGTTCAAGACGATCCAGGCATCACTGCGGCTGTTGTGCTTCTCCACCTGTTTGGAACTTAGTAAGTAGGTAGTAGGTAGAGTTATAAGTACCCTTATGCTACTTACGAGACTACGAAATACATACCTACTGAGTCCCCCGACCCTCCACATCTGCTCTAGAGGCTCAAGGGGTTTAGTGTTTATAGGGCTTGCGGCTAAAAGGGAAATACGCAGGAAAGGCCACCAAAATCCCAAATGGAGTGCCTGAGTATGCAGCAAGACGTCTCCTGAGGCTTCCTTGCTCTGTTCGCCCGTCTCCCTGCCAACCCAGGTCTGAATATCGGGGCTTCAAAATTCACGCCTAAATAATCACCAATACTATTTTGGGATTACCTTATTGAAAAGACCCCAAAACCCTATTCTAATTCTTACAAGAGTAGCTTCGAAGAGAACATCTGCGCAGCAAACCTCGTCTCTGCACTTCAGAGACCCCAGAGCTTCCAGGAAGCCAAACTTAAGGAATCATGGCTTCGGGTTCCTGTCGGGAGTTTTGTTTAAGGTTCGGGGGGTCTCTGTGTGTGGTGTCACTGGTGCTCAGAAACCAGCATCTGATCGGGGAACTCGGGAACCATATACAGAGGGGCCCCCAATGGTCCATTGGAGGTTTGGCGGCACATACCATGTTCAATCAGCACAAACGGGGCTGAGCAACGGGAATCAGGTACTTCTCCAGATCAGGGCCCGTGTTTAGGTCCCTAAAGAAACCCTATATAGAAACTATTATGTCACTGTGAAGGACCAAAATTTCGAGAACTACCCGATAGTCGCCACTCCCCCGGGGGGTTGATATCAATGTCCTAACCGCCCATAGGCTCCATAGTAGTTCCTTTTTGGGGGTTACCTTATAGGATTCTAAATATGAACCCCAAAGAGGAACTTAAAGCCCAAAGCCTCTCTAAACCCAACCCCCTCTTCAAGGCAAGCACCTAAAAACCGCGAGACTTTGCTGCTTGTTTTCTGCGGCCTCCTTTGGGGCTTGGGGGTTTTGGGGGATTAGGGTTTAGGGTTTAGGGTTTAGGGTTTAGGGTTTAGGGTTTAGGACCTAAACCTCGGAACCTGGACCCAAACCCCCCCGAGCCCAAATCCCCTCACACATCAGGAGAGACCTCCTCGATGGTGACGGCAGCTGCATCGGCAGCTTCAGCATCCGGAAGGAGGCGCTCGGCTGTTGCCATGGAATCGAAGGCTTGTATTGTATCGCGGGACTCTAAGCCCTAAATCGGCTTCGGCGCCAACGTTTGGTGTCCATGGTTCGGTTGACAAGATAATGTCGTTGAAGACGGACAGGGTGCAGTTGAAATGTAGACATAGACAAATGCTATACTGAACTTAGAACCCTAGCAAAAATATTAATTTCAGCTGTTTCTTAGGGCTTCTAATAAGCAAACATAAAAAAAAAAAACTATTTCTAAGTACCCCTAAGTTTCGATGCAGCCTGTCACAACTCGACTTCATCCTCGCCTGCCGATTCCAGAACTGACTTTGCTTGGGATGTCAAAGGGGAAAAGGAGGGACCCTTAATGGGGACCCCTACCCTATAATGGGATATATAATGGGTTATATAATAGCTATATTTAGGGTATATACCTAGGGGTCCTTACTAGGGGTCCCTCCTTTTACCCTAGGAGGATGAGAAGCTGTCAGGATGACCTTAGCGACTCGACAAGCCGCGGCTTTGATGCAGAACCCGCCGACTTCCTTTCTGCTTGCCACGGAGATGGGCGGGTTCTTCAAATCCAAAATTTAGGGCCTTAATGACTATAACAATAATAATAACAATACAATAATAATAACAAGAATAATAATAGTAATAGTAATAATAATAATAATAACAATTCGGGGCCCAGTATACTACCTTCACAAATTCGAAAGACACCCCCCAAAACGGTAATTATATTTGTGCAAGCTTCTGGGAGATATGGCATCAAGAGCTCAGAAGGATGATCTTCGGCAGCAGTCGGGGGTGTTCTTTATTGTAAGTCTAGTAGGAAGGGCCCCAAAATCCTAGCCTAATTATACCTTTTGGGGGGGTGCCCTATTGTAAATCTAGTATGAAAAATGGCCCCCAAACCCTCTTCCATTTATTAAGGCCCCCACAAAGGGAACTCCAGAACGTTGGACTATGGAATGATGGCAGGATCCCCTATAATTTACCTTAAAGGGGTTACTGTATGATAATCATATTCCAACTTTCCGGCTTCTACCGTATTAGAGATTAGAGGCCGTGCAGAGTTCATCCCAACCCTTCCGGTCCGCCACAGCGGGCTGTGGCGAAATGTAGAAGCCGAAATAATTCAAAACGTTATTCCTTGGGGTTCCTCTTAAGAAAGAATGATGATAGTGAGACCATAATGGGGCCCAAGACCCTATTCTCAGTATGAAGGCCCCTATATTTGACTGGAAAGTCTTGCGGAGTCCTGAGGTATAACACATGCAGGGAAACACCCCATCGTAGTGTGGCGGCGCAAGGGTACGCCTCGCCTGGCGCCCGACATGACTGGATGTAGCGAGGGTTTAGAGTTTAGGGTGGTTTAGGGTTTAGGGTTCAGCGTTTAGAGAGAAAGTGCCCCTAAGCAAGGGTGCTATGAAGAATAGGCAGCACCCAGTCTATCAATTCTTCAGATGATAACGGGGTCTGAGCCGGGGGTGTTACTCCTGAGAGCCATGAGAACCCTGAAGCTCCAGCACTGAAGGCAAAGCTCTTGCCGCTGGTTGCGCCTGCCACGTCGAGGACAACCAAACCTGGGATCAGTCTCGAAGCCAACATAAAGGCCTTAGCCTTAGCGGAATTTAACACTAGAATTTGGTCTTCCGTATATACTGTGAAAATAGAAAGGAGCCCTCAGTAAGGAAGACGACTAAAACTATTCACGATTCCTTCCCCGAATTTTCGCTCAAGCCTTCTTCTGCTTCCGACGACTATCTACGTGGCTGACTCGGTAGAAAAAGTCCAGCTCGGCTGAAAAAGGCCAGAACTCCACTCGGCCCTCCGCAAGTGTTACCCTAAGGCCCCAAAGTAGTTCCTTTTGGGAGTTCATGTATAGAATCCTATACGGTAATCCCCAAAAGGAACTACTTTGGGGCCTGTGGGTAGGGACCTCTGCACCCCAAACCACGATCATTTATGGCGGATGGATCTCGAGACAAGATTTTCGGATCCCCAAGCGCCAAGAACAAGCCACCACTCTAAGCCTAAAGCCATCCAAACCCGAAGCCCTCTACCCGAATTACTTGGAGGTTCATGGGAAGTTATAAGTCTTCTGAGAAGTTTACATCGCGGCCTTCATGGTGCGATCCCGGCTGGCAGTGATGAACATCCCTGCCCGGCCGAATTGATTGGAATGTGGTTTTCAAGACAGTTGAGTCTCCCTAAGGGTCCATGTACTCATATTGTATATACATTGGGCTTAAGGCAGTCCCTATATGGGTACTTTGGGCCAAAGTATATTCGATTTAAATTGCGTACATGGACCCTTAGAGGTTGAGGCTTTCGGACAACCGACGGAATTACTTAGAACAGGGTTTCTAGGATCCGCTGGAAGCCTTCTGTAATAGCCGTTAGGCCAGTACTACAGGGTTTCGGGTGATGTACAAACTGACAAACAGATTATAGTACGTATGTCGACCCGAGGCTAGCACCCTAAACCCTGAAACCCCAAAACCCTACCTAGACCCTGAATGCCTTAAACCCTAAACCCTATCAGCCCTAAACGCTCAAAGTCCTACTGGGCCCTAAACCCCGAACTCTACAAGCTTAAACTCGGATGGACTCGCCGAAGCTTAAGCCCTATCTAAGCCTTAAATACTCCTAAGCCCCTAAACCCCTATATCCCAAACCCCTAAACCCCCAAACCCTAAACTCCAAACCCCTAGATACTAAACCCCTAAACACTGAAACCTGAACTCTTTCTTGAGGCATCTTCGAGTCTTTATGATCGCCTGGCTCCAGCTGCCGGACACGGAAGATGCCGGAGAGGTGCGCCTGCTCTCGCGGGGACCGGAGGGGGGTGGGGGGCGGGAGGTTGGGCTTTAGAGTTTAGGGGTTGAGGGGTTGAGGGGTTTAGGGTTTCGGGATTTAGGGGTTTAGGGTTTAGGTAACAACGGGGCCTTCAACATGAGGATAAGGTGAAAAGGTCTGATAAGGACTTTCATAATGACTTCCATCAGGGCATATGGGCCCAGAGTCCTAATACAAATTAGAGTAGGCTTCCCTTATGCGTTCCTTCAAAGGGCTTTAGGACTTTAGGGAATAAAAAAGTATGCGCTTGATAATACTAGAGTAGCGTTCTCGGGGGTACTTGTAACTAATGTAAATTACCGTCACAACAAGGGGCCTCTAAGCAGTAATCTTGGACTAAGACATCTCCTAGGCCGGCGAACCGCGAAAGGACGGGGTTGGCATTTGGCTTAAGTGCTTGGGGTAAGGGGCGCGGGTTCTATGAGGTTTAGGGCGAAATCAAGTTCAACACTTCGGCTTCAACCTTTGTGAGGGCGCTGTGGCGTAGGAAGTAGGTCCCTCTTTCGTGGCTCATTGCTCCGTCGGCAGGACCGATCGAACAATCTGGAATGTCATGGGGCTTTAGGAAGTACAGGGCTCGGGTTCAGTGATTCAGGGCTGGGGAACCATAAACCCCTAAACCCGTAGAACCCTAAACCCGTAGGGTCAGGACTGGGGAACTAAGCTATTCAGGCCTTTTTGAGGCTCGAAGAGCTCTCTCGGTTCACAGCCCTGCATGCAATCAGAAAGGTGCACGGTCTGCCGTCGCATGGCGTGGAGATATACTACGCGTCGATTTCGACAGTCCCCAACATATTCAAAGAATAGGGCTATGTATCTCACAAGAACCTAATGTTAAAAGCAGCTAAAGATGATCCCAGACCGAGACCTAACCTAATGCGTTCCTCAATGGCTCAATTTCTTGGATCCCGTCAAGGGGTCTGGCACCTTGCCGACAAGAACCCTAGATCCAATATTCCCAACCGCACCGTAACTAAACCCAAACCCTAAACCCAAAACCCCAAACCTGTAAACCCTGAACCCTAGACCCCGCACCCAGAAAACTAAATCTGGACCCTATGCCTAAACCCAATATAGCAAGTCCTGAACCAAACTGTAAACCTAAAGCCCAACTCCTGAACCCTAAACCCTGAACCCACAGCCAAAATCCTGAACTCTATCGCGAACCCCTAAACCCATCCAAGCAGTCGTAGACAAACCCAGTGGCATCGCGTGCTGCACAGTAGAGCCCATGATGTGGGACCCTAGACTACTGATGGGTGTCTTTTTGCCATTATCTACCTAGACCAAGAGTAACCTAGGAATAAAAAGGGTGCCCTTTTTGGTTTAAAGTGGCTTATAAGGGAACATAAACCCTAAGAAAGGGAATAAGGGCCTACTCCGGGTCCTAGATCTACTTCTGGGATTCTCCCGGGAGTCTATAATAAATCCCTGAGGTTTCAACAATCCACAAAATCATGTTTTTAACGAGGGCTCCATATTAAACATTATGGGACATGAAAATAAAACATATCCGAAAATCGGTACTTAAAACAATACAAACCCTGAACCCCCCTAAACCTACTAGATCCCCTAAACCCCCTAACCCCGTCAATCCCCTACAAACCCTAAGCCCCTCTAGGCCTAGGGACCGACAATGTCTTTAACCTTACTGATCAACCGAAGTACGGTGGATGATATAAATCCTGCATTACCTTAAGGACCCTAAACTATGGGAATTATGGTATATTCTTTATTATGGGTAATGCAGGATGTATATCATCAACCCAAAACCCTAAACCCTAAACTCCCTATGGATCCCTTGAATGACCCCTTCAAGGTACCCTTATAGACCCCTTCAAAAGGAACCCAGGATTTATTATATCAGCCGTATGATCGCCTGCCCTAAACCCAAAACCCCAAACCCTAACCCTAACCCCCTAAACCCTAAACCCAAACCCTAATCCCCCAAACCCTAAACCCAAACTCTAACCCCCCAAACCCCAAAACCCTAAACCCACGATTATCGCCTGCTCGAGGCTTGCCAGCATCACCAAGGAGTTCAGGTCCCAGACGCGAACCGACCGGTCCTTTCGGGGCTTCCGCGAAGGTTCTTTCGTTTGGGGCGTTTTGGGGCTTCTTTGGGTTTAAGGGGCTTAGGGTTTAGGGAATAGGGCT